AGATACTTCTTGAACTTCCCAAGCTTGTTAACTTCAGCAATTCTGGCTTGGTATTCTTCCTCACTCTCCAGATTAGATCTGTCTGTCTTGTTAAGAGTGATTTCCTTCTTTGCTCTCGGGAACCATGCTGTGAGGAGGTCAACTGGACCCTTTGGAAGGTCCCTGGTTGCTGTATGTTTAGCTGACATGGTGCTGGATGCTCTGTACTGCTTTGAAACACAGCATTGCTTAGAATATCTTGAGGTCAAAATGGATACAATTTATACTTGACAGTTTCCATGAAATGGAAGAAGGACAACTATTGAAACGCATGGAACATTTGACTCGTCTGCTCATTCTTTGGACAACGAGGTTGGAACCATGCTCAGTGAAACATAACTGGCCACCATAATATGAGCACGTGGAGAGCGGAAATTCATCAAGTTCCATAATATGTCGAGTTCTGGCAGTGCAGTACATGTAAATATATGCTACGCTCTTGAGGCATAGTGAGAACTGTAAAAAGCCCACAGTTCCGGAACTCATAATTATCAGAACGACATAATATGGCCCAATATCAGTAACGACATCATGATCTATGATACCTACGAGGCAAAGACCTCGAATAAAGATAATGCCACCTGTATTTGTTGCTTTACAATGACATTTGACATGTTGATGGTGAGCTGCAAAAGAGCAAAATTGGGTTTGTAGGATAAGCCCGCTAAAGCGGCAAGCGCATGGCAGTGGTGGACGGCTCAAGAGTGCCGAGAATCACGGTGTATTTTTAACCGTTGTGTAGGCCATGGTTCGCTGTAGTGCTGAGCTTACAGCTGTATGTTCCCAGTGTTAATGGTGACTACAGGCATCAGAGAATGTGTCAAGCGTATGACAGTGGGCTAAAATATTCACACCGGTACTGACAGAGAGTTGATTGGCATCCGATGCCTGAAGAGCCGAGAAAGTTCAAGTCCAAGGTACCAATGTGTAAGAAGCTGAGTATTGGAAGTTATTAGAGAGATGACTGCGTGCTCTGTCTGTGGTGAGATGTCTTGTATGAATAGCACAGTGCCTCTTACTCGACATTCATGTAAACTAAGAAAGAAAAAGAAGATCACCACTTCTCAACGTGGGATGTAATCCATGGCGATGGTCTGAACCAGTTGAGCACATGGTAAGGCCAAGTAATATACAGGCTGTTTAGAATTCCCCTGGTAAAATTGATTCTCTGAGACATTTGAGTCAACAACCTGTGATATGGTGTCCAGCTCTGAACACTTCCAGGCATGGTGGACGCTGTAAAGAACAGAAATTCCATCGCAATTATGAAGACATTGAGCGAGTATAGCATGTCCGTGTGATTGATATTTACCAGAAACTTCGTCACGTTGACTACCATAGGATTCAATCTCACTCCAAACTTGGTCCTCGCTGTATATGAAGGCTGCTGGAAGGCTGCTATTGGACGTCTCTTCTCAGAAGTTATAGAGGCATCGGCTCAAGCAGGGGATCATCAAGCAGGGGATCACCGTGCACAGAATGTGAGACACACATCCTCAATGGACAGTGTACAGCTTCACGAGCCTCTTCTTGTATAGGCAAAGCGATCCAGGTCACAGTCATTTCAGAATAGTAATGGAACAGAAACAAGTGGAACTATCTTCAAACCAAGCGATTTCTGCTATGATCTGACTGCTCTAATAACCCTTACGCTACTCATATGTCGGAATCGTGTGTATACAACTACGTAACTGTACGTCAAGACATACAGATACAACGTTCATCAGCCCTAACCTGTACACTGATAGCAGATAAGTCACACGAGGCACGGCACACGACCATAGATATAGTATACAGGGACGCAGTGGATCCATCCCGAATACCTTGCTGTAAAAGGGCAAATATATACCTGGGGAGCACGAGGCTGATAGTGATAAGGTGTTTAAAGGGCTTACGCAGCACCGTCACTAGTACATGAACTGATAAGCTGATAAGAACGAAAATGTCTCGGGCATTATGGTTAGGACATCTCCATCAAATCCTTGTTGTGCTGTCAATAGGGAGTGATTGGTGTCTGCTTATCAATAGTCAGATGCCTAATATTACCAGATAAGAAGGACTCATAACTGGAGCTTCACGGTTGGAGATGTTGCAAAATAGTGTACGGCGCGTCATAGTACGTTCATGATATGGTATGCGTCAACGCCTTTACGCTGTTGTTACACCAACTAATAAGGCGCACATTTATACTTGAGTAATGAAACAGGACATAGTATTGGCTCGAAGTATGCTCAGACTGTGGAGGTTTGGGTTCCAACCTTCTGATTGAAATTGAATGCGACATCTAGTCTGTTAAAATCATATCAATTAAATATTGTACGTACTTTGGTGTCTAGTGAATAGAGGTAGCAGTTACCTTTTCATGGTCTTTACCAATAGAATCTTCATCGTCAATAACAATATGTGAAGATACAGTATCATCACCCAACTG